CATAGCACGCACGTGTTTCCTCTTTCCCAGTCCGCGTGCCAGTTGGAGAACCAAAGTTCGGCTCCCAGAATTGTGGAGGGAAAGAACTGACTATGGGGAAGTGTGGGTTTATTGGGACTGAGCTTTTGTTTGGGGCTCTGAGTGCAGAGGTGCCTTTCACCTTTTATATTTGGGGCCTGGGGGTGACAGGAAGGGGGACTGAAGGAAAAGAAGCTGGCCTCCTTTTGTCTTCTTTCTGCACCGGGGTTTAGGGGGAGGGTGGTGAGAACAGGTTGAAAACCTTGCGAGCAAGCAAGCAACTAGCAAGTATTTCCGATAGACAACATTGTGTAAAGCACTGGACCGGGCACCCAACAGTTACTGAGAATAAAAATGGGAATTTTCACCCTTGCGGGTGTGGCTCAGTTGGTTGGAGGGAGTCAGTTGGTTGAGTGTGGTCCCTATACCAAAAGATCACTAGTTCTGTTTCTGGTCAGGGCACATACCTGGTTTGTGGGTTTGATACCCAGTCTAGGTACTATGGGAGGCAACAGATCAATGTTTCTCTCTCATATCGATGTTTCTGTCTCTCTTCCCTTTCTCTGATTAAATATTCAAATGGATGCAGTCAGGCTGTGTGTACAAATGAAGGTGGGTGAAATTAGAACTGGCTGCTGAAGTCTCAGAACTCTGTACCTGGGCATCCGTGCCTGCAAGTGAAGTGCATGGCAGAGTTTGTTCTGTATAGGCTCAGCACATGAAACAGATACTTAAGAGAGTTTGAGATGATGGTTCCCAGAAAAAGAGTCAACCATTCACATTGGAAGATAAAGTTGGACAAGTAAATCAAGGCCAGATTGAGAAGGCTGGGGGTCTTGGAATTAAGAGGATGAAGTAGGGAAACATGTGCTTTGGGGCCAGACTAGAATAGGTCTAAATCTCATCTCATGCCTCCCACAAATTGGGTCTCTGTTCCCCTCTGTGAAATGGGGTAATTCTGCCTCAATATTGTGGGGATTACACAGGATTAAATGAGACCATGTCCTTAGCCCTACTGAAATTCAGAATTAATATAACCCCTTCTTCCCTTTCAACTATTTCAAAATTGTTCTCATAATCTCTAGGCTTCTTTGGGGCCTGTTTAAAGGTTCTTTCAACATGTGGCTCCACCTTCTTATTTTATTATTATTATTTTTTTTTTTTTGATACATGCCCCTAGCGGGAACTGAACCCAGGCCTCTCTGGTCCACAGGCAGACGCTCCAACTGCTGAGCCAAACCAGCCAGGGCTGCCCTTCTTATTTAAATTCAGCCAGCTCTGTTGCCTATAGACACTTTGGAGTCCTTGCTATACTGCTATCTTTTGAAGTATCTAAATTATTTGAAAATGCTGAGTTTTTACTACAAGCTTATAGCAATGGCCTTTCTGATCCACTATCCCACCAGAATGGTCCATCTAATGCCAATAATATGTAACATCGATTTATTAGACTCTCAATGGCTTTGGCTGAAAATTCAGTTTTCCGTGATCAGAAACAGTTGTTAGGTTCTCAAATAAACCCTACACTTGTCTGTTATAAAAATCCATTTCATTTTATTAATGTCTGCCTTCCCAGAGCTGAGCCTACACAGAACAACCTCTGACCTGCAACTGACTTGAGGACATACCCACATTCAGAAGTTCTGAGACTGGGACTTGAGAAGGTCAATGTTCTCATTCAACACAGGTGATAGGAAGAACATCAATGAGTTTCAAAGTGGCCTATAGATTGGATCCCAGCTCTGCCTTTCATTACTAAAAAAGAGCCCTGGATTGTTTACTATTGGGGAAAGGTACCAAAAAGAAGTAGCTAAAATCTCCAGATATACACCCATACACACACTTACACTGAAAGATATGTGTTTTCAGGACACAAAAGCACAATAATATATCAGAGAATAAAACAGGTCTCTCCAAAGTACAATGCTGTCTCTCATAAATGTGTATATGTGTGACTATGTCAAATGAGGCCATAAGCTATAGTTTCCACCATTCCTGAAGTCTTTTCTCCATCCATTCATTTATATAACTATACCTGAAAGTGATGGAATGAGTAACATCAAATTCTAGGATGAAGATAATTTTAGAAGGAAAATAGGTCTGCTCAACATTTGAGCTAGGGTATATGTTCTTTTCTTCTTCTTCTTCTTTATTGAAAGAGGTTTAGAAAGAGGGAAGGAGAGGGAGAGAGAGAGACAGAAACTTCGACTGGCTGCCTCCTGCATGCCCCCACTGGGGATCAGATCCACAACCTGGGCCTGGGCCCTGACGGGGAATCAAACTGGCGACCTCTTGGTGTGTGGGTGGACACTCAACCAGTTAGCCACGCTGTCCGGGCATAGGGTATATGTTATTTGAATATTCACCCTATCACTTTATTATGACAGAACTAAGGCATGGACCTGGAGAATAGAGAGGGAGACAAATTTCTACCCTAAAGCTTAGAATGCAAACAAACTCCAGTAGAAATACTCCTGCATTTCTCCATACCTCTGCTAACAACTAGAATAGTGCGAAACACATAAAATTCATTCCACAAATACTGGTTTCAACTGGTTTTTCCTCACAAAGCCCTCTTATCTAGTTATCCATTGGTCCCCAAAAGCTGACAATCCAAAGCCATCTGACTTTAAATTTGATAACCTTATGGTGTTAGTTATACATTGGAGTTGTCTTATTAATGAATCTCCTGAGGCACCTGTTTCAAAATGAAAATCTATTATATTATTAGAAGTACTCTCAGTCTATAGAAGCTAGAGGTGAGAGACAGTTAAAGTCTGAGCTATTGATTATGCATTCGAAAGCAAAACATCATGGCTGGACCCAGTAGGAAAAAGAGAAAATTGGGATGCACATATTTATATCCAACACCCCAACCCAAAGCCTTCTAGTGCTTAACTCCCAGACCTTTGATATGTTTAGTTATTCTCAGATGTGAACAGGAAGTATTCTGAGTAGAAATGAAGATCTGATTTGGTGTTTACATAGGTAAGGAGAAGGGAAACCAATGAGCAATTTTTGTAAACAGAAAAACTTCCAGTCCACCATAAAATGTTACTATTACATAGACACAGACCAGCAAAAATATTTAATGTACAAAAATATTTATTGTATATAATTTTTATGACCAAATCAGCAAAGCACTATCACTATAGATCAAATGCCAGATTTGGCAATAGCTACCTTATACCATACTTTTCAGTGTAATGGTATTTGTCATAATAAGATTTGGTTGGTTTGGTCATTAAATAAATATGTTATTCACATTTGCAAAAGTATAAATCAGCTCATTTTTTGGTTTCTCCCATTGCATCCCTGTCCCCTTCTTCCACCACCAATATTTCCTAGCATTATTTAAGGCTATAAATACCACCCTTGCCCTGACCGGTTTGGCTCAGCGGTTAGAGCGTCAGCCTGCGGTCCAGAGAGACCCCGTTTCGGTTCCCGCTAAGGGCACGTACCTCGGTTGCAGTTTGTCCCCGGCCCTGGTTGGGTCGTGCGGGTGGAAGCCACTCGATGTGTCCCTTTCACATTGATGTTTCTCTCTCTCTCTCTGTCTCTTCCTCTCTCTCCCTCACACTGTATCTGAACAAAAAGTGGAAAAATGTCCTCAGGTGAGGATAAAAAAAAAAATACCACCCTTTACCACACCTTCAACACAGCAAAACTACTAAAGTGTTTCCTTCTCCTGTCTGACCTTTCTCGATAACTTTTTAAAGTGCCCCAAGATCAGTTGGACCATCCTAAGTTGTCGTGCAGCAGAAAGCACTTGGATGTACAGTCAAAAGATCTGGGCTCTCCATGACTTGGCTCCACCACTTCTGTAGGACTTTGACTCCTCTGAGCTCCCTGAACCAATGTTTCTTCTTCTGAAAAGAAAGAATTTAAATCCTACTTCACAGAGATGTTATGGGAATCACATAAGACCTCATATGTAAAATTCTTAATATAATAACTAAGCACATGGTAGGTACTTAATAAATTTACATAAAGGTTTAAAAAAAGAATTTTTTTTAAGTAGAAAAAAATATTTAGAAGAAAATGTACCAACTATGGTTTATATCTACATGTCTTTATTTCTTCATTTTTAAAATAGGGATAATGTATACCATATATGGTGGTAAAAATTAAATGAAGTAATAGTAAATAGTAATAGCAGATGAAACATAAATATAATATTATTTGTCTGTGAGAAAGGGGTTAGCTAGAGAGAGTAGTTATCAAAACTTCCACTAACCCATCCTTCTATCCTAATCAGACACTCAAGCCTCTTTGGCTTTCTCTACCCTTTTGTAAGGCCCTAATCTTGAAGAAACAGAAAAAGCTACATGAAGTCTTGCAAGTTAGATTTCTTAGTATAAAAGGCGGTTTTTCATATATATATATGAAAAAAAATATATATATATATATACACATATATATATATATATATATATATTCCTCACCAGAGGACAGTTTTGCATTTATCTTCAGATAGAGCAGGAGAGAAGGGGGGAAGAAAGAGAGAGAAACATAGATGTGAGAGAAACACATCCAGTGGTTGCCACCCACACCACCCAACCAGGGCAGGGGACAAACTGCAACTGAAGTACCTGCCCTTAGCAGGAACTGAACTGGGGACTCTTTGGTCCGCAGGGCCAATGCTCTAACCGCTGAGCCAAACTGGCCAGGGCTTGGTTTTTTGTATTAAAAGCAGATGAAAGCTCCTTGAAGGCCCCTATACTCTAGTTCTTTACCTACACTATCTCATTGAATTCTCACAAGTATCAGGTCAGATACCAGTATTCCCCTTTGAAAGGATGAAAAACCCAAGACTCAGAAAGGTTAAGTAGCTTGTCCAAGAACACACAGCCACTATTCTTAATAAAACAAGCTGCACTCTTTGAGACTAGCCTAAGGAGACACTTCTGGTACTCGAAACCCCCACGGTGCCTTCAGGACTCTTGCTACTGCCAACAGACCCGTAACTGTGGAGTTCATACCTCACACTCAGAAGCTGAGAGATGGTTCTGGACAAAATCACATGGCCCCTGGCTTCTACTGGGCCGTGCTCCGGGCGTGTCTCCCTTTCTCCCTCCTGCTATCTGGAACTTGCCTGTAGGTGGCGCCATGATTCGTTCAGGGGAACTTGGAGGGCGAGGACACGGGTCACCAGCAGCCTCCCCCAAAGGCCAATTTAAATAGTCCTTTGGCTTGAACCCAGCACAGGAACCTTGGTAATGTGGACGTTCCCCCACACCCCCCCCGCCGCCACCCAATCTCTGTTCCTCTCCCCTCCCCTCCTCCCCTTTCCTCCCCCTCCCTCCCCCGCCCGGCGCTGGCGCGATGCGGGAACAGTGAGCCTGCGCTTCCTCCGAGGTCGGGCTCAGGAGCCGGATCTCCAAGCGCTGGGGCCGAGCTGGGCGCTCCTGGGCGGTGCTTCGATCCCGGAGCCTTGGGCCTGCCCCCTCCGATCCCTTTCTGCACCCCCTTTTGCTCGCAGCTGTGGCGGGGGTGGAGGGATGGAGGAGAGTGTGACCCCGTGAGTGCTGGGCGGGGGCAGCTTTAAAAACTTCTGAAAGGCCTCGTTCAAAGCCTCAAAGGACAGAACTTGGGCCGGAAGGCGGTTTCCACGAGGGGGCCTATAAGGGGGTGGGGTGCACCTGCAGGGCCAAGAGTGCGCGGCCTGGGAAAGGGGATCCGGGCCCCCGCAAGCCCTGAGACCCCCACCCCGCACTCGCCGCCGGGCCTCGGCCCCTCGGGGGGAGGGGGAGGCCAGCGGCCCCTCCCGGGACCTTGGCTTTCATCCTCCCCACCAGACGGCAGCAGGGCGGGGCGGGAGCTTGGGGGCTCACGCAGTCCCCGCAGGGCCTTCCTTCCCGGCTTCCCCTCCCTAGGAACCCGAGATTTCGCAGCAAAATTGAATTCCCGGATTGTAATTCTAATGCAGCCGGGTAGGACCCCGTTGAGGAAGTGGGCATCGCGGTGGAGGAACCGTTCCCATTTTACACTCTACCCCTACCCTAAAAATCACTGGAGGCGAGTGAGAGGGGTGGAAAAGCAGGAGGAAGGGCCTGCGCTGGAGAAGGTGAGGGGTTGACAAGGGTCGCACGGTAGCAGGTCGAATGGCGTCGGGAGTCGCCGTCGTAGCTGTGCGCTCTAGTCGTGCCGTCGGAGGGCAGCTGGGGAGGGGCCGCCGGCGGCTGCGGGCCTGGGCAGCTCTTCCGCGGACCGAGAGCGGACGCCGGCTCGCGCGGGGCCCAGACACGGACCAGTGGGATTTTCATTGGTACCTCAAGATGCGGATCCTCATCCTCCAAAGTCCTTCCCATAGAGGCTTTTGAATGAATTAGGCAAATTATTTTCTCCATTTGTTGTTCCTGAAGAAAACAATTTCTCGGTTCTTCTGAAATTGAGCGTCTTAGTCGGGGAGCAGATATGTGGAGGCTCTTCTAGGAGGGTTTCCACCACCTGCGGGCTCACTCGGTGAGGATGCTGAAGGCTGTCGGCGAGGACCCGCGGGGAGAGGTAGACGTGGGACAGAATGAGGCGGCGCGATTGAGTGAAGGAAGAAAAATAGCCACTGAAAATAGAATAGTTAAAAAATAAAAAAATAAACTACATAACGTTTATTATCTTGCTTGGAGTTCTTATCCTTGATATGAGAAAGTAAAATAGTTGGGCGTTTGTTTGTTTGTTTTTCCAATTAGTGTTTGTCATTCTTTCTCAAAGGCCTTAAAGGAATTATTTTAGTGAATTTTAAGAACAGTAGCTGCTGACATTACAAGCAGCAAAGGCTTGACGAACAGATCGGTAGACTCCAGAAGTTTAGTTGCAATGTTAACTCTCAAATTTAGTGTCAATTTTTTTTATAGGGTGGTGTTTTTATTAACTCGTGTTCTAGAGGTAGGGAACACTGAGAAGGAAAGAGACCAAAGGAAGAACAGAGCAGTGGAAACAAAAAGAGAGAGGTGAGATCAACTGTAACTGTCTCCAACGAGTCCCAAGTCGGCGTCCTAAAGCACTGCACGTTTCTGGTAGCGTTGACTTCATCCGAAATACCGGTGGGCCTCTAAGCGCTGCCTAAGAAAGGACGGACTTAAGCAATTTCCCTTTTGTGAAAGTAGCACTTGCTTATGAAGTAGCCCTAACGAGAGAGTGAGACCTCCCACTCGGCGGCCTGAGCTGAGTACGCTGCTTTAAAATCATTAGGTGTGCGTAGCATCCCCTCGCCTAGCACCCCCAGGTCCCGGAGCCAGAATGTGGTGGGCAAGAGAAACAGTTGACCCGTCTGCAGTGTGTCCTGAGTGCCTTGTCCTGGCATTTTAGCACAAAGACTGGCATGTTGAAACTATTCTCCTCATGTTAGCAAAGCTAAGAGATTGGCTTTCCTACAAACTTTGCACCCAGCACTTTGGTATAATGGATGAAAACAATATTTTATCCCTTAAGGCCAAAATATAGCCTTTAAAACACTCCCAACAGGGGTTGAAAGCGTGTCAAGGGCTCAAAGACAAGTTTGTGTTGCCCACGGGGCAAGTGCAACTTATCAGGGTAAAGAGCAAGAAGCTTTGTAAAAGTTAGAATCACCATTTTAAAAAAATCACCGTTCAAAGAGATAGTTTGAAAAAGTGTTACAAAGTAGCCTGGTAACCACTCACTAGAGAAGCAGAAATACTTGGGGGGTCTTTGGGTTTCTGAAAGGGGGGTAATTGAAACTTTTTAGGCTATAGTTTGAATGTTTTAAAGTATACTGTAAGCAGTCCTTCCGTTCATGAAAGTAGAAGGCTATACTTTCTGAGCAAAGTATTCCTAGTGATATTACCCCTAGAGTTATGGGGTCTAAGACCTTTAAAACTCCCCTGACTTGAAAAATCACAGAACTAGCAAACTGCCACTTTTCTCTAGCGTTTATTATACAAAAGACAAAAACCCCGAGCGCAAAATAATGAAGGTGGTGCTTTCTCCCGAAAAGAAAGTCCACAGAAAGTTTCTGCAGATAAGTGCTGCGTTAGAACCCATTCCTTAGTGGGGTGTGGGGGTGGGGGCGGCATCAGACAGCAAACCGGACATAAACACACACCTTGTTTGCACTGGCACTCACTTTACCACTGTGGGTCCATACAGTGCCAGCCAAAGAACAAGGGCTCATCCACTTGAAGTCTGTGAGGAGCAAGGCGTGATGCAGGGTCCAAACCCATGCCCACAAAATACAAGATCAGGACTTAACTCTGGGTGTTAGGGGGAAAGGGCTACCTCAAAGAAGTCTGGGTCTTCCAGCAAACAGTGAAAAACAGACTTGGAGGTCCGCAACCTGTCTGCTCCAGGGGTAGCCACTATATCCCACCAACCTCGCAGCCCCACAATGTCAGTGCTGTGGTTCGAAAGTTGGAAACTGCGATTTTTCCCTGGGGCTGGGTCCTGCCTTCCCCCTTCCTCTTCAGCCTCTCTCTGTAAGCGGATTTGTTTTTCCATGCATCGCTGGCAAGTCACTTTTAGGAAATCTTGCCTCTGCAAAACGTTTTAAACGTGGTAATATATTGCAGCCTTATTAAGTCCCCCTTCAGAAGGGCGTGAAAGGGGCTCTGTTTTCCTGAAAGATTCAAGTACTTCATCTGAGCAAAGGACTGACCCATTGATTCACTGCACTGTCCACTCACATGAAGTCAAGGTGTTTTGTTTTGGATTTTGTTGTTTGGTTTGGTTTTTAATGCCTAGATTTTAAATTCACACAATACTCTCTCCAAAGGGGGGGTGGCATTAAACTTGTGCCCTTCATTACAAGACACCCTAGATGTCCCTCTGAGAGAAGAGGCTGCAGAGTTGGTGGAACCACGAATTAATATGGAGAAGTAGGCCATCAGGGCCAAGTTCCTGGGCGAGAAAACTCGGCGGAGAGGGGGCAAAAGTTTCTCAGAGGTTGCCTCCAGGAAGGGGGGTGGGGCGGCAGTGCAGAGAGCCCCTTCTGAAGTTCAGTTTTGCTGAGCATCTGCTCTTCCTTACAGGACACCATGCCCAGGAGTCCTGCAGGTTTCAGCCTCCACAGTGAAAGTAAGGGTCGGATCTGCTGCGTCGCCCCCTCCTTCCCCTAGGGATGTGCCAGGCTGGCAGCCAAGAGCCAGGCGAGGCGAAGCCAGGCTTGGGGTCAGCTCCAAGGCCAGAGGGCGGTGCCCAGCCACTACACACCGGAGCCTCCTTTAGCCGCCACAAGGTCATGACCTTGCCGGGCAGCTCCAGTGCCTCCAATAGTCCCTCCACCTGCCCTTGACTCCAACCTCTCTCAGGGTCTGGAGTGAGTGATCCCTGTTATCTGGGTCGGTGGTGATTGAGAGTCGAATTGAATTTATTTACTCTCAAATTCCCCCAGTACCTCTGAAACTGAGGAAGTCCGAGATCCACTAGGGACTGTGCTCAGTGAAGTCCTCACCTGGACTCGGACTCGGAGTTCACAGGCTGCTCTGGGAGGCCGGGTGCCTGTGCTTCTGGGTGCCAAGTTGCTGCGGGTGGGGAGAAATGAAACTCGTCTGACTTCCCACCTTTGGGTACTGAATTTTTTTAAGTGTAGGTACCTTGCTTGGGTTTCCTTTCAGGCACCTTACCACACCTCTTTGGAAGAAGGGGAGTGCACGTGTGATAACGGAGGAGGAAAAAGGAAGGCAAGCAGGTGAAGTAGAAAAGCAGCACACCCTCTTCTATTGATCTACTTATTTAGGATATTGTGTTAATCAGATTGACGAAATAGAGTTGAGTGGTCATGCTGGCACTTTGAACGAGAACTTTTTTCCCCACGCTCTCAGCAAAAAAAAAAAGAAACAAAAAACAAACAACCAAACAAAAAAGGCTTTCTGGCTAACAGATCTTAACCGGCGCCTGCCACCCCCTAAGCTTGGAGTCAGATGCAACCCCGAAACCCTAGCAACCCCAGTCTGCCAGCCCTTGATGGGGCAGTCTCTGGGAGAACAGTAGTTAGTGCACCTGGAGCTTCAGCTGCTACAGGAGGAAAGAAGTGGGACCTTACTTTCCAACAAGCAGTGACCTAAGGCTGCCAGCGCCTAGCTTGTTCTAGAAACACCTAATCT